ATGCCCTAGGCCTGGTAGATCGCATAACGTCTCTTTTGCTTTCCCATAGGAATAATACTATACCCCGGCATCAAGTCATTCGCAGAACAATGAAAGGCACCAGCACTAATGAGTGTCCACCAGGGCCAGACACCACAGCTCGTTATCACTGCTCTCTGCGGCAACCCTGTAAAGCAAGAATTATTAGTCCAGTTTCAAAGATAAGAAAACTGAGCAGTTAAGTGCCTGTCCACAGGTCTCATAAAGACCACTAGTGCTCTCTGTTGTTCCACAGCACTCTGAGCCTGAAGGCCGAGAGGCGGCTCGGAGAGTGCGCGGTAACCGTGCCTAACGCAATTACGCTCCGCTTCGTGGAACCAGCTCAACACGGGCGAGGGATGTCAGAGACATGCTGCATGCCTAAGAGAATCTAGGTGACTTTCCCAACGTCCAAGAGCGAGGCAACAGGGGAGATAATTAGAGAACTGGGATCTTCTGATCCAATCACACCCCTTGACTCCAAGCCCCTCTCCTATCCACTAGGAAAGGCACTGAAGCTGTTGGGCAAAGAAGACAGAGTGAGAACTCCTGGACCGGGACTGTGGGACTGTGCCACACCACAGCGTGCAGACGTGGCCTGGGCACATCACGAAGTCCTTGGGACACCACAGCGTGCAGACGTGGCCTGGGCACATCACGAAGTCCTTGGGACACCACAGCGTGCAGACGTGGCCTGAGCACATCATGAAGTCCTTGTTGGCATTTCTGAAAAACATTTGTGTTGTCATATCTGCGAGTTAGACAATCAAAGCACAGTACTGCTCCTTTACACGTGGGAACTTTAGAAAGAGCTTGGAGGCTTGGGTGCCTTTCACAGAGCAGTCAACTCAATTTAGATCTGTTGATTGACATATTGGCCACTTAGATCAATTACATGATCCTTTACACGCCAGGGTCTTTGAAGAGAGCCAACTTTTAAGTAAGTTAATGTCTCCATCCCCTCCAAGGTATAGATTTCCCTTGACCTAAATCTACCCCAAGGGGCTCTTATGATATCCCTTTTCTGGAGTCTCTCACTTGTCCCTGGCACAATAGAACTACTTTGTGTGGGACCACTCCTTGATGTGATGGGGCAGTGTGCTTTCTCTCTGAGAAGGGAACCTGAACCTCCCGTGTCCATGAAGACCCGCCACTGAAAAAACAGGCCTGAAAACACCAACAGCGACAGCTACTCTCCTATGCTTACAGGTCTTCATTTGTAACGCTGTCAAGCATGGCATCTCTGGCTATCATGTTTTCAGAATCTGTCAATATCTGATCATAGTATATGGAAAGCATTTCCATGTAACACTGGACTCCTCTCCTTCCTCATATGAATTTCATAAAAACAAGTTACCTCTTCACAAAATCCATCACACAAGGGCTTTCTGTTTTGTTTTTTGCCTGCTACTAGTTTGTTATTCACATGTTACATGCATGGCACTGATTGGTCCAACACTTAGTTATGCTGGATTGGAAGTTACAGAATTCTCCAAGAAGACTAGCAGAGAAAGATGGAATTTTCCAAAGAAAAACACAGTCGGGCTGCAACTTCAGAAATACCACTGGCCAAGAACAGCCCTGGGAAGCAATCTTCTGGCATGGGGGAACTTATTTTCCCAGGATGACCTGAGGATGTAATTTGGTAATGAGATCATTTGGCAACCTTGAGTTTTAGTACAGTGAAATGAAATAACTGAATTGGCTGTGGTTTTTAACTTATCCTCACTTTTCCAAGGTGGAATTTGGCCAAGATTAAGAATAAACATTTGGGCTTTCAAGATTTCCATTTTGTAATTACAATCTGAATAATATGAGAAGACATCTCTCCAGTAGCACTGAGTGTCATTGTATGAACAAGTCAAGGCCTCCACTGTATCCTGTTTCCTCTTGAGGAGCAGCCCTGGCCCCACCTTTCCTATGATCATGGAGGCTAAGCTTTCTCACCCTGTAACTCACAAGGCATACGTTGTGGTTAGTACACTTTTGACCCAAATAGATGGCTTTCCACTTGTATCTCCTCTATTTTTCCAGTACACTAGAAATTTCAGAAAGAAGCAATCACGTTTGATTTCTCTGTTGGATTCATATTTTTGGTTTGCTTTCTTTTTTAAGATTTATTTTACTTTCATTTGAAAAGGAGAGACGAGAAGTTGTCCATTTGGTAGTTCACTACAACGAATGGAGCTAGAGCAATCTGAAGCCAGGAGCCAAGAGCATGTTTACGTCTCATGTTGGTGCAGGGGCCCCAGAACTTGAGCCATCCACTGCTGCTTTCCACTGCTGAGTCAGAAGTAAGGTAGACAACATACAAACTGATACCCAGATGGAATATGGACTCCACAGGCCAGAGGCTTAGACTACCATGCCTTGGTACTGACTCCATTTTTGGCTTTTTAACATTTTTTATTTACTCTTTTTAATACAGAGAAATAGATAAACAGGGAGGGAGAAGGAAGAGAAGAAGGAGGGAAAGAGTGAGAAAGAGAGAAATGGAGAGGGACACGGACACACACACACACACACACACACACACACAGATCTTCCACCTGCTGGTTCAGGCCCCAAATGCCTGCAACATCTCAGGCTGGACCAGACAAAAGCCAGGAGCTAGACACTCCATCTGAGTTTTGCACATGAGTGGAAGAACCCTAGAACTTGAGCCATCGCCACTGCTTCCCAGGTTGTGTGTTAGCAAGAAGCTGGATGGAGGCAGAGCTAGAAGTCAAAGCTAAACACAACACAACCTTAAGATGAACTGTAACCACAGCTTCCAATAATTTTCAAATTTCCAAGTTGTAATAAAATTTATATGAAGCAGAAAATCTTAAATATCCTGAACATTGTTGATGGGCAGCAGGTTGTTGAAGGTTAACTCTGCTCTAAAGTCAATTCTGTTAATCTTCATTTCATCGCTGGTAGTGTTGTTATCCCTACTTTACAGACAGGAAACAGCTTGGCGATTGAGTGGCAGGTGTCCCAAGACCAAGACTTCCAGCAAGCATTCAAACATCAGGGCCCGGGGACTTCACTAGTGTTCCTTTTTGCTTGCAACAAAGCAGGCTATCCCACCAGATTTTGAAATGTATTATAAAGCTACCAGAGTTTGTTTTGTATAAGAAAGTATAGATGATTAATAAAACATTATCAACATTTCAAACAAATCCCTGTGGAAAAGTGAGGTGCCACAAAGTCAGGCCTGTGAGAATGTACAGAAAAGATGCTTCCAATTCTGAATAAATAAAAGTGAAACACAGAGATGGACAATGACCTTAATTGTGACAACAAAATGAACTCTAGGCAGGTCAGAGATTTAAGTGCGATATGCGACCTTCTAAGGACCGGAAGGAAAAAGGCATGGTGCTGTTATTTAACCTAAAGCAGGGTGAGATTTTTCCAAACATAGCAAGAAGAAAAAGCTACAAATTGCCATGCTAAAAATAATAATCCAAAGGGCCCGGTGTGGTGGCCCACAATGCTGGCTCCTGAAGCCAACTACTAATGCACATCATTTGCATGCCAAGCACATGTGATCTGGACCACGATGACATTAGCCTGCAAACTTCTCTGAGGGCTGAGGCCTCACCCAGCAGTACCCTGTGTAGTCAACAAGCAGGAACAGCTGCCTCCTCCCCACTCTGCATCAGCTGGTGCATGGAGAGTGCTTGGTGGACAATACGGGCTGACACACCTGTGGGTCTGCCCACACGTTCGCTGTCTCCTCATAGGAATCCTGAGAGGAACCTTGGAGCAGGGGCTGGGCGTCCAGGGTAACTGGGCACACTGAAGGGCTAGTCATGGCCCAGCCCATTTCCTGCCAGGGCGTTGAGCATGAGTCACTCCTCTAGGATACTACAGGTCAGAGCAGGAGCTGACAAGCCAAAACCTGCCTGCCAGGGCAGCGCTGGGTGAGGCTCAGGGCAGAACACATTTTCTTAAAGACGGCCTGCGACGGACCGATTCTGTCTCGAACAGGCTGCCCTGGAGTCGCTCTGCAAGCTGAGAATGCACAGGCGCCATGTGCCTGCTCACCAGCCTTCCGCATTTTCTTCACGGTGCTCAGTAAACCTTGGCCACTGAGACCATACTCTCTGGCTTATGTGAATATGGGCGGAAGAAACTAACTTGGCTCAGCCCTTGGGGTGTGCCAGGCGCCCTGCTAGGCAGTCAGTCCCGTTTACCCAGGGCAGCACAAAGTCCACCGAGCGAGCAGAGTTGACAGCTCTCAGAGGCGCCTGGAGGAGGCGACCTGGGAACTGGCACTTTAAGAACTGGTGTGACTACTATTGAAGAGTCTGAATCAGCGAAAGCAACAGCCCCAAAGCAAGGAAGCAGGGGCTGGGCTCGGGCGCAGGGACGCCGAGCACCCTCTCTCCTCAGGCCGCCCCAGAAGGACGCCATCTCCCTGTGCCGCTCTCCTCCTGGACCACTCCACAAACGCCCGGCAGGCTCACATCCTACAGACCAAGGTCCAAACAAATCACACCCCAGCCAAGATGGAAGACAGGAAGGGGAGAGGCGGGGAGGGAGGAGGGGAAAGGGAGGGAAAGCCCTTTTGCAGATCCTTCCGTCAGCAGAATAAAGCCCAGCCCCGTGTCGTTCAGCGCCTTGGGAGGCTGCAGCTGCTAGGCGAGGCACCCGGGAGTGGCTTCTTGGGCCACCCCACTGCTGCAGCTCTCGTACTTTCATTCTGATAGTTTCCTGATGCCCAGTGTTAGAAATTTAGTTCCAGTAAACTGCTCCTTGAAAGGACATCTGCCCTGCGCTTGCGCTTCCCCCGGACCCACCACTCCCCGCATCCGCGGCGCCACTAGAGCGCAGTCGCCTGCGCCTGCGCAAAGCCCAACTTCCGCCAGGTATTACTCAGGCTTCAAGACTAGCTTTAGCAAAGTCCCGAGCTGCTGCCAGAACAGGACGGGGTGATGACTGCGTTGTGCGCGTGGTGATGACGGAAGCGGAAGTGCTCCGGCCGGAGGCGGGCCTAGACACCGAAGGGGCTCGGGATTGCGGAAGTTTTGAAGAGGGTCGGCGGCGGGTTCTCGCAGTGTTGTTTTAAGAACAAGTTGTGGAAAGAAGACCTCCCCCGGAGTGGGGCTGTGACTACAGGGCACGGCCCGACGCCCCTGCTGCTGGCTCTCCTCGCCCCTTGTGTAACCCCAGGGAACCGCCTCTCACCTCCACCATGTCATCCGCCAGCCCCAACCTCCAGGTATGGCTGCTGCTCACCTGCCGCCGCCCGCGGGGCCGGAGCCGAGGGGAGGCGCGGGGAGCGGGGCGGGTGGCGCGCCCCGGGGGCCCTGGGCTCGGGACACTGTGGACAGAAATAGAGGAAGCAGCCGAGCTGGGACCACAGCCTGTCCATGTCTGCAAAGAAGAAGGAAAAACTCAGGGTTTTGCTTGTTTGTTTCTTTGTGTCTTTGTTTCTTTGTTTTTGCAAAGCTCCGCTCTTGTCCCTGCTGGGAGTAGGATGGATGTGGGTTTTTGGAGCTCAGCCCGGCTCCCCGAGCTCTGTTCGGGAAGCAGCCGTGGACGGCTTCCGCCTTGACCTGGAGGGTCGAGCCTGCCTGCCCCCAGTCGTTTCAGTACACGCGTTCCCTGACTCCCAAACTGGATAAGAGTGGGGGGTGTCTGTGCTTCCTGTCTGTCACTGTCCCCGTGGTGAGCAAGGCATTGATAGGCGAATTGGGAACTCCAAAGGTGGAGACCTCGGCGTTGGTCGTCTATAGAGCGACTTTTTCTAAAAGGAATGTGTGTAACTGTGTAACCCCCAAATGGGTCTGGGACTTAAGAGTCTAGGGCGTGACTGGGCCTGGAGGACTGCCAGGCAGTGGGTACCCAATTGAAATGCCCACCTTGCTTGCATCTTGTCTCGGGCTTCCAGTAGTGTGTGGGCCGGGCCTTTCTCGTTGAATGCCTGATAACAGGTGCCAGCGGTAACGGGATGCACTGGGAAGCCAAAGCCAAGGGTCCTGGGGGACTGAGCTACCTAGACAGGAAACAGAGTGGGGGCAGAGGCCTCCTCAGGGCCTCTGTGCTCAAAGTGGGCCTGAACGAGCATGGAAGTGACTGATTTCTTAGAATTAAGAAAAAATTATGTGTTGCTTCCTATCTGTGTTTTTCCCACTAAAGTGTCCAGCTGAGATGGACCAATTTCCACTTAATCCAAGCATTTCCTTCAGAAAGGATCTTTTTGGTAAAAGTGTCTTGAAAGCATGTTTGTCCTTTTGAGAATTAAAGGAGATTTCAAGTGCTCATCTTGTCATCACCCTTGCCAGCTGTCAGTTAGCCGGCGTTGTCCTGTCAGCTTTTGTTGGTCGCAACGTTGGGCGTGATCCAGTCATTCCACAAAGCGACTTCCATCCATTTGCAGATACCTTCCCTCTGCCGAAGTGGCCGGGTTCTTCTGTAATCAGAGTGCATCCTTCTTGAATGGGATTGTTGGGTATTCTTCAGGGAGTTATCTTAGGGACTGACCAATGTTCAAGACAGCATTGCCAACAGGAAGAGTGTCAGGACAGAACTTTATTGCTGCTTGACTCACTCGTGTGTATCTCATTCAGTTTCTTTTCTTTTGAGGAAGAGAGGGGTTCATATGGAGCAGATTCATACCTGCTGGTTCGGCCCCCAAATGCGTGCGGGTCAAAGCCAGGGGCAGGATCTCGCAGCACGCCTTGGCTGTGTCTGAACGGGAACCCGGTTACACAGCCATCGTTGCTGCCTTCCAGCGTCCTCAGGAGCAAGAAGCTGAAGCTGAGAGCCAGGGTTGCCCTTGAACCCCGGGCACGTTGACGCGCGCTTGGATATCGTAGCTACTGGGCTGAAGTCCTGTCCCTTACTCGGATAGTTTGAAAATCATTCAGATAAAGAATCAGCTATCCACTGAACAAGACAAACCCTCTTTAGCCAGATGCTTGTAATCTGAAAGTCAAAAAAATTACAAGTAATTTCACAAATGCTGTAATAGAAGGTAGGTGAGTGGGCAGAAAGGAAAGGCGCATCCCAGTCTTCCAGGGACACAGGAAGTGCTTCCCAGCAGGTGCTGTGAGCTTGGATGAAGCCAAGAGCGCTGCCGCTGTGTGCTTGGTGTTCTGTGTGATCCCAGGCCTCGGAGCACCTCTGCAGTGTGAGCGTTCTTCCAGTGTCTGTGTCAGGTTAAGGTTTACTCCCAGACGTAGAGGTGTTGAGTGTGTGGGATAGTTTTAAATCTAGGTTTTTGTGCTTAGAACTCTAAACTCCCTACATAATTCCACTATTTAAACAAGAAAGTAGAATGTTTTCTAGGCAGAGAACAACAGTCCTCAATTCAAAGGTGTAGAACAAATTCCTTCAGAGGGTTGGGGGAAGTTGCAAGCGTGTAGCATGAAGTAAAGCTAAGTGTACTCCATCCTGAATGGTGGGTCCCCTGTGCCAAGTGAAAATGTGGCCATGGGAGTTACTACAGGGCCAGTGGAAGTCCAGAGGGAGGTGGTTCCATCGACACTGGCACGGGCTTTCTCTGCAGCAGGAGGCCCGTGCCCAGAGCCTTGCAGAAGCTGGGATTCTGCAGCAAGTAGTGGAATAGGGTGTTCTAGGCAGACAGGCCTGCCAAGTTGGACTGGGTCGTGCCAGGAGTTTGGTATGATTGGAACTTAGTGTACAGGTGGTGGCATGGGCCGGAGGGTTAGGCCCTGTCACGGGGAGGTTCGTGTGCTGCATAAACAGTCATCATCCTACTCCACGTGACAGCCATGGGGGGAATTGGCCTGTTCAGGTGCTGTGTGTTAGCGTGGAACTCTCCTGTGTCCAGGGAGAAGCTTGACTGGAGTCGGGAGACCAGTTAGGAGAAAGAAGATGGTCAATGGCCGAAAGTAAGGGGCCGCATTAGTGTAGCACTTTTATATTTTAAATTTATTTATTTTTATTTGAAAGGCAGATTGACAGAGAGGAAATACAGAGAGAAACATCTTGGTTCACTCCCCAAGTGGCTAAAACAGCCGGAGCTGAGCCAATCTGAAGCCAGGCACTTCTTCCAGGGTCTTCCCCGCCTCTTCTAATTCTGCCTTTCATATAAAAATGGAATAAATGCCAATTACTCCAAAATCCGTATTTGCATCCAGGGCTGCTCAATCTTAGTTCTACACATCTGAATTCAGATAATGATTGAACATTTCCATTTGACTGTCCCTGAGGCCTTACTTTTTTTTTTTTAAATTCTATTCATTTTGAGACAAAGAGAGGAGACAGAGAGTGAGCCCCCCACTTGCTGGTTCACTCCTCATGCTCGCAGGGGTGAGGCTCAGGTCAGCAGCGGGCAGGTCACACCAGGTCTCCCGTGGAGCTGGACTCAGCGCCCTCAGCCACTGCCAGCTGCTTCCCAGGGTCTGGACAAGCAGGAAGCAGAACCAGAAGTCAGAGTTGAACATTCAGCCCGGGGACTCCAATATGAAATGCAGGCATCGTGAGTGCTGGGCCAATTACTTACCCTGCTCCTCCATCCCAGTGCCAGTTACTCACCCACTTGTTCTTTTCTACCACCGTAAACAACTCCTGCAGAAATCCAGGTGGGAACAGGTGCAAGCCTCACTCTCCTCACTACTTCTTCTCTGATGATGCCTTTCTCATTCATTCAAAGAGGTGCTACCCAGTGCAGCAACTTAGTGGCTAAAGTCCTGTCTTTGCATCTGCTCGGGTCCCATATGGACATCAGTTTGTGTGCTGGCTGCTCTACTTTCCTCCTAGCGCTCTGCTTTTAGCCTGGGAAAGCAGTGGAAGATGGCCCAAAGCCTTGTGACCCTGCTCCTGCATAGGAGACCCAGAAGAAACAACTGGCTCCTAGCTTCGAATCAACTCAGCTTGAGTCATTCCAGCCATTTAGGGAGTGAACTAGCAGATGAAAGATTTTTGTCTCTCCTCCTCTCTAAATCTGGCTTTCCAATAAAAATGACTATATTTTTGTTAAAAACTTTCTTTATTATTATTATTTTAGATGATGGTTACATAGTTGATCAGGATGGGAAGGATCTAGGGCTAAGGAGAAGTGGGTGTGATCATTGCTTCCAAACTTTCTGTTTCTTCCCATTTCTGCGGCGACGGGAGAGAGAGGCCGTACCCAGTCTCCCAGCCATGCCAGTGCCTGAGGATGGGGACAGCCACCCGACAGCAACCTGGGCCACCATGCGTGCGTCCTCCAAGGGTTCCGCCCGGGTGGGTGCGATAGTTCCAATGTATCTTTTTTTTAATATTTATTTATTCTTATTGGAAAGTCAGATATACAGAGAGGAGGAGAGACAGAGAAGATCTTCTGTGATCTTCTGTCCAATGGTTAACTCCTCAAGTGACTGCAACGGTCAGAGCTGTACCCATCCGAAGCCAGGAACCAGGAGCCCAGAGCCTCTTCCGGGTCTCCACGCAGGCGCATGGTCCCAAGGCTTTGCGCTACCCTCGACTGCTTTCTCAGGCCACACACAGGGAGCTGGATGAGGAGCAGGGCTTCCAGCATTAGAACCAGCGTCTGTATGGGATCCCGGCCCATGCAGGGTGAGGACTTTAGCCACTAGGCTATCGTGCTGCACCCACTCTGTCTAAAAAATAAAGTGTAAGTAACTATATCTTTTAAAAAGCAAAACAAAACAAAAAATGGAAGTGAGTGGTCTCCTGAACGCTAAGAGGAGACACTGTGAAGGCGCTTGCTGTTCCTGATAAGTGCTGCAGGAGAGAGTTGAGAAAGTGTGAACATTGGCATGTCCAAAAGCATTACTGTGCGGGAGCATCGTGAGCCTGGGGCATTCTTCGGGATTTTGCTGCAGAAATAAAGATCTAAGTGAGATGGGAGCGAGAAGCCTAGGAATGGCTTCTAGGCACTGAGGACAGTGAATTCAAGAAATGAATCTGAAACGGGACTTGAACTGGTTTTCTGTGGAGGCATAGTGGCATGGCACCCTCAGTGGCACGGCATACCCTTGGTTACGTGCTGTGGAGGCGGGACAGGCTCGGAGCACAGCATTCACTGACAGACAGCTGCTAGGACGTGTTTGTTCCTGAAAAGTTGACTGCACAGTGTACCTGGTTTCAAGGTTTTCTAAGGTGGACACATCATGGTCTCCTCATCTGAAAGGGGAAGTCCAGCTGCTCACAGCCTTTGAACTTTCATGTTGATCTCTGGGTCCGGCCTGACCCTGCTGCGGGAAGTCACCTGCTCCTGTGCTGGCCATTGTGCGAGATTTGGGAGTG